ACAAGCTTGCAATTCGATTCATTTTCGATTCGATTCAATATCGATTATTTTGGATATCAGTTACAATAAATGGCCATTTTTCTCAAGGGAATCAAATCTCTGAACTAATGCTGTAAACTATGGGAGTCTAGTTGTAGCCTATAGACTTCATTAGCCTAATATGAAGGTATTAATGAACTGTTTTGTAGCTATACAAACACTTAAATTACACTTTTATTTATTTTTATAATAAGAAGATTATATGAAATATAAACATTTAAATGGTGGCTGTCATAAAAACTTGCCAGATTTATTCAAAACTGCATTAAATATTGAAGAACATTAAGATTATAATGCATATGTAATATGGTGTATATATTTAGCATTTTTTCTAGCTGACTAACGAGTTTATGTGGGTTTTCTGAGGTAAATATGACGATACATGACATTGATTATAAGCTGTTTAACTGACGTCTTTCCACGGTTGAAACGCTGATTGTGAATCAATGTGACACGATACGGATTTGGATAAGTTGTACTGTATCTTTAACACACTTTCAGACGCTCATTCATGTTTATTTGGCGCTGTGACTGGTATTATTAAGCCGGAAGAGAGATCAGCGCTGCTGCTTCTCCAGAGCGATCTCACGCCACAGCGACAAAACGCTATTTATGTTTTTGAATTTCTAAAGAAAATGGACGTAATTTGAAAATTGAGACTTTGTTTCATATCAATAGTAACAAAGGACAAAGATTATTGCGATTTTTTTTTTTTTTTTTTTTGGATGTGCGCAGCCGCGATACAATGTCCCATTCATTCAAATGAAACAGGATGACTTAAGTCTCAAGAATCGATATCGGTTCGTAAAAATGAGAATCGATTAATATCGAGAAATCGATATTCATTACCCAGCCCTACCAAATACACTCCTTCAGGATTCATATTTCATTAAAGTTTCGGAAAGCTTTTTTCGAGTATGACCTCTGTTTCCCCTAGGCTCGGAAAGCTCCACAGACGACAGTGAACGAGAAGAAGATGATGACGCCGATCACGACGAAGAGGATCATCCAGGAGGACGAGCGAGTCTTCGGAAAGGAGGTCCTCCAGAGCGCTCGCTCACGCCACAGCACTGGGAAACCGGAAGCCCGTCTGAAGGCTTCAAAGCTCCCGCAGTCGTCGACGAGGAACCCGCCGTCCAAGAAAGCCCAGAATCGGGCAAGAGGAAGAGCCAGTTTGAGGTGGACGCGGAAGGATCCGGCGGAAGAAGAAAAAAAGCAGACTTGAAAAGCCCGACGAAGGGAAAAACTAGAAGCAGTCGAGGCAGCGATTGGCTACCAAGTAGTTCGCCGAAAAAGTTGGAAGAACGAGGCCCGTCGGAGGATCGAGGAGAAAGCAGTTCTGAAGACGAAGCAGCTGAACTTCAGCCCAAGGAAATACCAAAAGGGCATCCGAAAACCTCGAAGAAATACAATGGCGTCAAGGAGAAGAATAAAAGCGGTTGCTCAGGATTCTGGGAAATCCCAGAGAAAAGAGCCAAAACATCCACAGGGATCGATGACCGGTCGCCCAGCTCTCGTACCAAAGGCCAGAAGGACGTTTGGTCCAGCATCCAAGTTCAATGGCCCAAGAAGATTTTAAAAGATCTGTTCTCGGACTCGGACACGGAGGCGGCGAACTCTCCTCCTCCCGCGGGAGCCGTTCCAGACGAGCCGAGCACCGAACCGGCCCGGGACAACGACGAAGAGGAGATCGCAGAGGAGAAGCTGCAGGAGAATCCCAGCAGCGGCACCAACTCGGTTCTCAACACGCCTCCGACGACTCCCGAGTCTCCGGCCGTAGCCGAAGGTCCCGCCGAGGTTCTGCCCGAGATCCGCGCGCCTTCGCTGCCCGCCAGTCCTCAACACGCCTCTCTGCCCGAAGGACCCCTGGTGGAGGAGCGGGCCGGGGGACGCAGCGAGTCCGACAGCAGCACGGTGGAGGTGGAGAGTTTAGGAGGAGAGATCCCGGAGATCCATCGGGAAGAGGAGGCGGGATCCCCGTCCAAGGCCTTCGACGGAAACCTGTCCTGCAACAGTAACAGCAACTGCAGCCTGACGCTCAGCAACAGCAGCCAGCAGGAGAGCGAGCAGAAAGCCAAAGGTGTGTGGACAAACCAGAACCATGATCCTTAGAAGTTCATGGATGCATTCAATTCTCTTTCTCGCGCCGCTTCGTTCTGTTATTAATAGTCCAGTCATTTTAAGCCAAAATGGGGGTCATTATTTCTCTCACGTGAATAGGGTAAAACTTTTTACCTTTAGATATCATCATGAAAATGATAATCAAGTAAGTTGAAGTAAGTAATCAAGTAAGTTGATTACTTACATCAAGACGAACAAAAAATGTATTGCAAGTTTTTTTGCAATTGTTTGTTAACATGGACAAATGGTGCATAATCTAATTACATATGTGCTAATTTGCATAATTATCCAAATAGATCTAAACAGGTGAAAATAAAACATAAAAATAAGCATAATTTACATAGAAAATATGGTACTTTTTGAAGTAAATAAATTCAAAAATACCCCCAAAATAAAACTAAAACACCATAAATGGATAGACAAAACTTTATCGAAGACGGTGATATAACATTTGTACGGTTTGAGGGCTAAGAGTGTAGCCCCTATAAATATGAATATACGTGAATAATAAATACACTACCGTTCAAAAGTCTGAGGTCAGTACGATTGTTTTTAAAAAGAAATGCGTACTTTTACTGAGCAAAGATGCATTAAAATGATTAAAAGTGACCGTAAAGACATTTATAATGTTATATTTCAAATAAATGCTATAAAATAAAATCTCACGGTTTTCAACATTGATAATAATCATAAATGTTTCTTGAGCATCAAATCATCATATTAGAGTGATTTCTGAAGGATCATGTGATACTGAAGACTGGAGTAATTTGGAGCTTTTATCACAGGAATAAATTACACTTTCACATAAAAAAAATAATATTAATGTTAATATATAATAATATTAAAAGCAGATGATATACATTTTAAAAAATCGTAATTTTTCGCCCCCAAACCTTTGAACTGTCGTGCTTATAAACAGATTATTATTTTGTATTTTATTTTATATTATAAAACTATTTTCTATTACATTAGTTCTAAAATACTTCAGTAACACTTAGATTTGTTAACGTAAGTTAACTATATTTGTTATCAATGAAAAACAATTACCAGTATAAAGCATTTATTTGTCTAATTTAATGTTAATTTCAATAATAATACAATATTTACCAAGCAAATGTTGCATCTGTTATTATTCCTTAATTGACCGTAACTAACATTATGTTATGAATTAATGTTAACAGATCAGTAGCATATATTGCGTATCGTTTGATAATGTTAGTTAAGGCTTTAGCTAATGGGGTTTTATTGAAAGTGTTAGCAATAATTCAATATTTGTTTTAAAAAGATATTTCTAAAATGTGATTAATTCGTCAAACTGGTTAGGAAGAGAGGAAGATCACTGGGTTTCAATCACTGGGAAGATCACTGGATTTTGCATCTCACACATGAATGCTGTGTAAAGATAAATAACTTTAAATCTTGACTAGTTGTTAATTCCAGGAAATGCATTTCTAACTGTTTCTCTCCCGTCTCTCAGCCTCATCCGGTCAGAAGCGGCACAAAGAGTCTCAAGGCGGCGGAGCGTCGAAGAAACACAAGCGGAGTCATAAAAGCCTGAGCTTACATCCCAAGAAGAACCGCAAACCAGGTTAGAGGAATCGGCGTGTGTTTTAGAGAGGTCAGCGGAGCCATGCTAAGCTTTATTCCTGCAGGGATGTGAACGTGCTCGAGTGTCTCTGCGTCTCGTTCCTCGAGTGTGTTTGTCATTGAGACGCTGTGGCATCGTCTGGTAATGAAAAGCTTGAGGAGTTCGGTGACTTCAGTAACTCGCTTTAAGAGATTACTCTGTCTCCAAATGAAATTATGGCTTGCTAACACTCTTCTGCCAATACATTAGTTTGTTTTTACACACTAGTACTCTTTAAAAGAAGCAAACTCAAACTTCATTTCTACTAAAAGTTGACGTGAAGAGGAACAGAATGAATGAACCATTGAAATAAAGAGTCTATTTCTTTGCATTCACACTGTCCATGAACCTCAAATTAATTCTAAACACAGTTTTTCTTGGTTCGATTATTGTAATATAATATTAATTTTTTTTATTACTGTTATTTTGAAGATTTTTTATACAATAGTAATATATTTCTGCAGGGTTTTTTCTTTACTTTCACTGCATTGATAAAAGGTCTGACTGAAAACTGAAGACTTTTGAGATTGACCTAGATTTACTATTGACTTGAAAATAAAATAAAAATAAAGATATATAATATCATTCAACAACAAATAATATTTAAAAAATGTTAGTGTGGTGTTTTTTGGTTTTGTTTTTATTAAAGGTCTGGTTGGGTACTGTAAACTGAAGGACCTTTCAGTTTGACCTTGATATTTACACATTAATTTGAAATTAATATTCCAATAATTTTACTACAAATAAAAAAAATTATCTTGTTTTTATTTTACTTTAAATTGTCTTTTTTACTAAACTAAATTAGATTTAAAATTATTTTTTTATTTTTTTTTCATGAAAATCATTAAATGTATTTATTTTCACTGGTAAAAGGTCCGGTTAAGGTTTTAACTTAGTATTTCAATAATGTAAAAAAAAAAAAAAAAAAAAAAATTCTAATAAAATATCATTTATTTAAAGTATTATTACATTTTTTTCTTTTTGTTATTATTATTTTTTTATTTTTAAATTCATAAATAATATTATTTTATATATAATATTTAATTATTTTATATATTATAAAATATTTTTTTATTATTTTATAATATTAAAGTTTTAATTATTCATTTTAATTACTAAATTATTAGCACAAATCCTAGTTTGGGTCTCTGCTTTCACACAGACTTGATTATTGATTATTTTAAATCAAATTTATGAATGCAAATATAAATTGATGAATGCATGCGAGGCCAGTCCAGTAACGCTATGTGTGTGTGTGTGCAGCCACAGCAGTGACAGCGAGGACCAGTGTATCAGCGAGAGCAAGAGCTCGAGCCGGACGCCCCCCTCAGGCCACCGGTACCAGAAACACGGAGAGCCGGAGCATTCCCACAGCCGGGAACATCACGCCAGGACCAGGTGGACCTTCCAGATGTGTAAGTGCCACGATTCCTCAGTCTTAACCCGTCTGATGAGGAACCGATGTCTGACATGGGTTCCCTCTCGCCCCTGTTGATCCAGCGGACCTGGAGAAGATGAGCAGTCTCGAGCGGATCGCTTTCCTTCAGGAGAAACTGCAGGACATCAGGAATCACTACCTCTCGCTGAAGTCTGAGGTGGCCTCCATCGACCGGAGACGCAAGCGCATGAAGAAGAAGGAGAGAGAGAGTGAGTGCTGCGCTTTGGGGAATTATTTATATACGTTATACTATTTATTCATATGTTTGCTTAGCTGTTTATTTTATATCATAATTAATTTAGAAATATGTTTAGTCATTGTGCTTTAATTATTTGTTATTTAGTTATAAGTTGTTAGTTTTAGTAATTTCAGAACATGAACATGGCAACTTTTTTATATTATATATGTAATATAATAATATATTATATAATAAAATAAAATGTGAAACAAGTTTTTCATATAATATTTACCTTGTTATTATAATAAATTTTTTAAATTTCATATTTACTTTAACTGCTTAGAATATTTTAAATAGTTTAGGTTTTAGTAATGCTGCTATGAGCTTTTGTTTTTTTATTATTATTATTTCAGTTTTAGTTTAAATAAATAAAAATAGTGATATAAGTCTTTATTTGAGATCATTATGAATTACAAAAACAAGAGTAACTGCAAAAAATAGTTTTATTAATTTAATAATAATATTATTATATTATTATATATAATATATTATTATATATATAATACTAAATATAATATTATTATTATTATTATTTTAGTAATTTAAGCACTTCAACATATTTATAAAAAACTTATATATAACTTATATATATATATATTAGGGCTGTCAGGCGATTAATCACATCCAAAATAAAAGTTTGTGTTTACATAATATATGTGGGTGCACTGTGTATAATTATTTTGAATATATATATATATATATATATATATATATAAATACACACACATGCTTGTATTTATTTAAGAAATATTTTCATGTATATACTGTATATAGATTATATATAATTTATATTATAAATAAAATTATAAATATAAATATTTAATATATAAATGAATGATTTTTTCTTAAATATACATGCAATAATTATACACAGTGCACCCACATATATTATGTAAACACAAACTTTTATTTTGGATGCGATTAATCTCGTTTAATCGTTTGACAGCCCTAATATATATGTGTGTGTAATTTTTTTATTTATGTTTTGAAAAAATGAGTTCTGTGATTGTAGTCCTTGTCATTTTGCAGTAGATTGTAGTTTCTTGCCATCACCCTTTTTGCCAGTCCAAAGTTAGCCGTTTTTGAGGCTAGTTTAGTTTAGAAAGTCATGTGATTCCCTCATGTGTCATGAACTAACCCCTGAACTCTTGTGTCCCAGCAGGCGCAGCAGTGGCCTCTTCCTCCTCGTCCTCATCCTCCCCGTCCTCCAGCTCTCTGACGGCAGCCGTCATGCTAACGCTAGCCGAGCCGACGGTCTCCGGCGCGTCTCAAACCTCGGGGGTGTCTGTGGAGTGCAGGTGACAGGAATGAGACGCCGTCGAGCAGCACAGAGCACTTAACCAGCACCCGGCTCGACCTCTGACCCCTGCACTAGTGGACGGACACACACTGACAAACGGGGCACAAGTATGATGAAACAATAGCCACCAGATACAGCAACAAGCACTATTTTATATCGACAACTGTTTCCTTGGCAAGCTAATTGCACTCAAGTGCACTTTTCCCTGAAAGTTGGGTGGAGTTTGACGACAAGACTATTTCTGTTCGTTTTGCATCCATCCCCACTGTGTCCATGAGTATCTGAATCCAGCACGTTCAGTTTCACCCACCGCGAATCATCCGAGGCGTTTGAGACGAAACGAGGAGAGCCGCCGATACGCTGGTGACGCTCGAGGCGCGCGTGAGGGATGCTGGGAATGTGTTTCGTCACGCCTCCAGAAGAGTTCAGCTGTGAGAGTCTCACTCGCTCACAGGAAAGAGAATGTCTCGTTTATTTTCAGTCAGAACATGACGAGCGGCAAAGCAGTCCAGGTCATATTTCACCCTAAAACCAAAAGGGGGGAAAGTGTGTGTGTGTGTGTGTGTGTGTATATATGAAGAGTTCAGATGCAAAAGCCTCTAAGTGCCATTTGAAATTTTCTTCTAAAATGATCATTTTTAATGGCAATGATAATTACCTATTAATTGTTATTTAAGTGAAATTACTGAAATTAAACATACAAGTTTGATAAAAATCATCATTAAAAAGAACATTTCAAATGGCATTTAGAGGCTTTTGCATCTGAACTCTTCATATATATATATATATACATATATATATATATATATATATATATATATTGCTCAAAAAAAAATAAAGCCATAAAAAGTACTGCATTTTTCCCCGGTTGGAAATTTTATGATTTTAAATTTGAAACCCCGGTTTTAATTTATATATATATATATATATATATATATATGTGTGTGTGTGTGTGTATGTGTATATATATATGTATGTTTTGTGTGTGTTTGTGTATATATATATATATATATATATATATATAATAACTGTATTACAGTACTGAAAATCACCATTGACAATTAATTAAATTAATTATAATTTCAGTGAAAGAAAAACTTTTTTTTTTTAAAGCGTTTTTTAATATGTATCAAATATGTAATTAACTATATTGCATTAATGAGAATCATCATAGAGAATAGTAAGAATTTTTTACTATTCTTAAAAAAATCTTAATGGCCCTATAAAAAGGTTTCAATATGCAATATTTTTAGTGTTTTATATATAATTATGTATTAAATATATAATACTGTATTACAGTATGTAATGAGAATTTTATACTTTATATAAGTGATAAAAACTAAATCTAGCAAATTGATGCTAGAAGATATTTTGAATTTTATATATAATTTTTGAAACCTATTTTTAGTGGTTTTCAATTAGAATATAATTTTTAAAATGTATTGCAGTAATGAGTAGGGATGGGCAACGATTAATCGCATCCAAAATAAAAGTTTGTGTTTACATGATGTGTGTATAATTATTTTGTATATATAAATACACACACATGCATTTATATATTTAAGAAATATTTGCATGTATATACTTATATATATTTATACATAATTAATATTATGTATAAATATATATATTTGATATATTAAGAACACATTTTTCTTAAATGTATACATGCATGTGTTAGTATTTTTATATACAAAATAATTATACACACACATCATGTAAACACAAACTTTTATTTTGGATGCGATTAATCGTTGCCCATCCCTATGACAACTAATAATAATGAGAATTTTATATTTAATAGTTAATTATAGAAAAATTAATTGAACAATTGGGTCAGTTATATATGAGATACGTTATATATAACAATAAAACATTTCAACTTGCATAATGAAACCTAATTTTCGTAGGATTTTATCATTCAAATTAATATATTACAGTATCAGCATTAAAATGATAATAAATAATTACATATCACTTTCCCAATTCAAAAAAAGTCTTCATATGGATTTATATATATACACACACACTGTTTTCTATAGTTTTAGGGTGAAATGCGACTCGTTTTGCGCGTCTGTTCAGATAAAACCCTATGAATGTTAAACCGCCAATTTGTTCAGTGTTTATTTTTTACGTTTTTTTTATGATCTCAGAAACGCTCATGAAAGCTACACCGATCACCCCTTCATCTCCTCCTCCTGCGTTCAGTGTGTGCGTCCGTCGACGGAGCCGAGCGAGTCGGGCTAAGGGCTATGGAGCCGCGCGCTCGCGGTGGAGATTCGCGTTCAGCATCTCTGGAGGTGAAATGTATTATGATTGTTGACAATTCGAGAATTGAAGACTTTTTCTGGCAGCCAGGATTCTAAATGTATTTTACTACTGAGATGGACCCAGACCCTGTGGGTGGGGTTTAATGGTTAATGTGGCAGTATTCAGAAGTGCAATGGCAGATTCATCTGGAATCATGTGCAATGACAGATGCCCATCTGTCCTGTGCGTCGCCTTTGTGTGTTTGTGTCTTCCTTTTCTCCATTTCCCACCTCCTTTTGCAATGCCATGCAGGTGAAACTCGACAGAACATCACGCAAACGTTCAGTAATTCAACGTAAAAGGTGACACTAATATATTATATAGACTCATTGCATGCAAAGTGAGATATTTCAAGCCAAGTTTGATGATTATGGCTTACAGCTTATGAAAACCTTTCACAATATTCTAATTCTAAGCTGCAATTATAACAATTATAAAGCTTGAAATATCTCACTTTGCATGTATTGAGTCTATATAATATATAGTTTCGCATTTTAAGTTGACTGACTAAACTTTTTGTAGAGTTGTAAAGCACTGTGGGAGATGAAAAACACTTGTTTGGTTGTGTATTCGGTTGAACTGTGTTAGTTTAGCCAAAAACGAAAGTTGTTCCAAATGCATTTGATGTTATTTTCCCGTGCAACACAAAACCAGACGTTTCTTTTTCATGCAACAACAGCTGACACTAATTTCAGTCGATCAGAAGCACATTTGTCATGTAAACGGATGCTTGACTGAATATGCATGAATGTTCTTTAACAATGGCATGGTTTGCATTGCATTGCAACGAGTGAACGTTGTTTTTTTGGGTGAATTATTCCTTTAGAAGTACTAAGGATCATCATCACTTCCCTTCATTTATCGCCCTCTTTACTGTCATCCTTCATCTGATCTGATCAGGCGAAGGGTTACGGTGGTGAAAACGTGCATTTATGGCGAGAAGTCGTATGTATGTATGTATGTATGTACATCTTTCCTTTGTATAGACTCCCTGTTGTATCATAACCTGAAGGACTGTAGCGTTTGGCACTTGTATGTAATCGTATGCCTTTGTTATACATTTGTATATTGAGAAGTGTGTTTTGAGTCGAGCTGATTAATATCTTGCACTGTTAATACCATGTACGTTCTGTACAGTTTTACCGTTTTAACCGTAGCGTCTGTGTGCATTTGGAAGGTAAAGCATGTCCATTTTCTTATTGGTTCTTATTGATTCATTTTCTCACTTTTACGTTTCCTTCTCGTCTGTGTATTTGCGTTCATCTGTGCTTGTACTATGCTTTTTTGTTTTTATAATGTGGTATTTCCCAATCTGTACATGAAGTGTAAAGTTTTATGGATCTTTGCAGAGAATGTTCAGAGAGCGTTTGTGAACGAGAGAGAGAGAGAAAGCTTACGGAAAGTTCTATCATATTATTAAGCTCATCAGAAGATGGACAGTGTGTAATTTATTGTACAAATGTAAGCAGAAAAGCCTTTGAAATAAATGCCATAGTTTGTGACTCTAATGTCCTCTTTCACTGTATGTCAGAGATGATTGATGATGCTACTACAGTGTTATGGATTTGATGTGGTGGAAGCTTGTTTCCGCCACAGAATAAAAAAGGTAAATGTGACTCTCACAATTCTGAGGGAAAAAAGTATAGTACAGTAATTGCGAGTTATGAACTCGGATTTGCGAGCAATAGTCAGAATTGCGAGATTATAGCTCAGTCACACTTTTCTTTTATTCTGGGGAGGAATGCAGTGACGTCACTCCGTGTTTTATTTTGGCTTCCAATGATTATGAAATTATCATCATTCTATTCCAAATCAGTCAAATCATGTGACATGACAAACAGTCCCCTGCCTGATGGCGCAAAAAAAAAAAAAAAAAAAAAATATATGCAAATGATGTTTCGAGGCCGCATAGAACCGAGCGTAGGCACTAAAGCCGCTTTTAGTGTCTGTGTGTTTTTAAAAACACGCCCGTTACGGCACCAGCAACAGTGGCGTAGAGCGTG